AAATAGCTCCGGATACGCTTCTCGCATCCTGCTTTCCAACTCCCAGGTCACACTGCCTCCTGCAGCACCTCCCCAAGCTACCTTCACCAAAGGTATCTCTTTCCCTCGGAGCTGTTTCATCTTACGGTCCTCGATCCTCAACGGCATCGTCTCAATAGTAAGATTCTCCCGAACCTGAACATCATCTCTCTGAATCACATGAGATGGATCAGAAACATATTTTCGCAATTGCGACACATGAAACACATCATGTAGATTCGACAACTCCGGCGGCAACGCCACCCTATAGGCCACAACACCAACTCTTTGCAAAATTTCATAAGGTCCAATAAACTTAGGATCCAGCTTCTTGGACTTCAACGCCCGACCCACACCAGTCATCGGGTTAACTCTTAGGAATACGTGATCACCTACACAGAATTCCAACTCTTTCCTCCGATTATCATGATAACTCTTCTGCCTACTCTGAGACACTTTCATTTTCTCACGAATCATCTGAATCGTCTCAGTAGTCTGCTGAACAATTTCTGGTCCAAGCACCACACTCTCACCGGTCTCATACCAACACAGAGGAGTCCTACACCTCCTCCCATACAAAGCTTCAAAGGGTGCCATTCCAATACTCGAATGGTAACTATTATTGTACGTGAATTCAATCAATGATAAATGAGTGTCCCACGCACCACCCTTTTCCAATACACAAGCTCTTAATAAATCCTCAAGCGACTGAATAGTCCTTTCCGATTGACCATCAGTTTGTGGATGATAAGCTGAACTTAATTTCAACTTAGTACCCAAAGCTTCTTGCAAGCTCTTCCAAAATTCTGAAGTAAACCTCGGATCTCTATCCGACATAATACTGGACGGAACACCATGTAACTTCACAATTACCCGAATATAAATCTCCGCCAGCTTCGTCAACGGAAAACTAATATTAATTGGCACAAAGTGTGCAGACTTCGTTAACCGATCCACAATCACCCATATAGCATCAAAACCTCTCGCCGTATTTGGCAATCCTGTAACAAAGTCCATAGAAATGCAATCCCATTTCCAAACCGGAATTTCCAACGGTTGCATAAATCCAGAAGGTCTCTGGTGTTCTACCTTCGATTTCTGACACGTCAAACAGGCATAAACAAATTGAGCAATGTCTCTTTTCATACCAGACCACCAAAATAATTTCTTTAAATCATGATACATCTTCGTAGCTCCGGGATGAATACTCAGATTACTACGGTGTCCTTCACTCAAAATCAGCTTTTTCAGTTCCTCATCATCTGGTACACAAATCCTGCCTCTAAATCTCAACACACCTGTACTATCCAATTTAAAGTCACTATCGGAGTCACTTCCTACTCCAGGCATCAAATCTACCAATTTCACATCCAACTTCTGATTCTCTCGAATCATATCCAAGAAGTCATTATTTACCTGCAACATACCCAACATTACACTCTCTGCAGTAGTTTCACAAACCATGCTCAAATCTCTGAATTGTTCAATTAACTCAATTTCTTTCACCATCAGAGCTGCCATATGAATTGTCTTTCTACTCAAAGCGTCTGCCACTACATTGGCCTTTCCCGGATGATAACTCAAACTGAAGTCATAATCCTTCAAAAATTCTAACCATCTTCTCTGCCTCATATTCAGCTCTTTCTGATCAAACAGGTATCTCAGACTCTTATGATCACTAAACACTTCAAATCTTGAACCATACAGGTAATGCCTCCAAATTTTCAACACAAAAACAACCGCAGCTAACTCAAGATCATGAGTAGGATAATTTCGCTCATGCACTCTCAGTTGCCGCGAAGCATATGCTACTACCTTACCATTCTGCATAAGAACTCCTCCTAATCCCATCTTAGACGCATCACAGTACACCACAAACGGTTCACTCGGAGTCGGTAACACTAACACCGGTGCCGTAGTCAATCTCTTTTTCAACTCTTCAAAACTTTCTTCACAAGCAGCGTCCCATACGAAAACTTGGTTCTTTCTCGTCAACTGAGTTAATGGCAACGCCAAATTAGAGAACCCTTCAATAAACCTGCGGTAATAACCAGCTAAACCCAGAAAGCTCCTAATTTCTGTCGCTGTCTTCGGCGGTTCCCACTGCAATACTGCACTTACTTTTGACGGATCCACCGCTATTCCATCTTCAGATATTACATGCCCCAAGAAACTCACTCTCTTCAACCAGAAGTCACACTTTGACAGTTTAGCAAATAATTTATTTTCCTTCAACACTTGCAAGGCAATTCTCAAATGTCCTGCATGTTCTTCATCAGATTTAGAATAAATTAATATATCATCAATAAACACTATAATGAATTGATCCAAATAAGAATGGAAAATTCTATTCATATACTCCATAAATACTCCCGGCGCATTAGTCACTCCAAACGGCATTACAGCATATTCATAATGTCCATATCGAGTTCTAAAAGCAGTCTTCTGAATATCACCTTCTTTTACTCTTATTTGATGATAACTCGACCTTAAGTCAATCTTACTAAACACACGAGCTCCCACCAGCTGGTCCATCAAATCATCAATCCTCGGGAGAGGATACTTATTCTTAATCGTCACTTTATTCAACTGACGGTAATCGATGCACAAACGCATACTACCATCCTTCTTCTTCACCAACAACACTGGAGCTCCCCACGGCGATACACTTGGCCTAATAAACTTTCTATCCAACAATTCTCCAATCTGAGACTTCAACTCAGCCAATTCCACTGCAGACATCCTGTACGGCGCCATAGAAATAGGCCTCGTACCAGGAACAAGATCAATACCAAATTCCACTTCTCGCGTCGGAGGCAATTCCGTAATGTCGTCAGGAAACACTTCCGGAAATTCATTCACCACTGCCAATTCCAATAATAATAACTAATAAAATAATATAATATTAATAATCTTAATAATAATAATAATACTAATATAATCTTACTAATATTAATAATACCACATATTAATAATAATAATAATAAAAATAATAATAATATTAATAATTCTAATAATAATAATAATGATAATAATAATAATAATCTTAATAATAATAATACTATTAATAATAATAATAATAATAATAATAACACTAATAATAATAATAGTAATAATAATAATAATAATAATACTATTATTATTATCACACCAATATCCCACGCCTATGGTAATCCCTTTCCTCTCCATTCCAACTTTTCTAATATCTCCTTGCTACCCCTTCATATTTCCTTCCTCACGGTTTCTATCGTGATTTTTCATATTTCCATTCTAACTTCCCAATAACCCTTTCACCTCTTATTTTACTTATTCCAACCACTAATATTCCCAATAATAATTCTAATAATAATAATTATAATAATCATTATAATAATAATAATAATATAATATAATATAATACTATTATAATATTATAGTAATATTCAACATAATAATAATAATAGTGATACACCCAACAATAATTATAATTATAATAATAATAATATTATCACACCAATAATAATAATAATATTAATAAAAATAATATAATAATAATATAATAATACTAATATTATTATTTCACCAAAATAATAATAATATTAATAATAGTAACAAATATAATAAATATAATAATAATAATAACACCCCCACCAATGTTACTATTATTTTTATATTACTATATTTCACACCAAAATATCACCAATAGTCCTCCCACATTAGGGACACCCACCAAACATCATCAAATACACCCCCACCAAAGGGCACACCAACATATAATTTTTAAAATAATAATAAAGTGACTAAATAATTAAAATGGGTGTTACACATTACTTATTATTTTCATATAGTTTCAAACTAAGTTTGGAGTGATCCGTGAGTGACTAAAATGAGTTTACTCTTGTAATTAATTTGCACTTATTTGACAATGGTATGTGGTGATATGCAGAGTCCTGGTATTAAGAAAGACAAGCTTTGGGAGCAGAATTTGCAAACACTGTTGCGTGGCAGAAATAGCGTTGGTTTTCCCGAGATTGCTAAGATTTTGTCTCCGGAATTCAGCCAGGGTGCGATTAATATCAAGGATACTAATATGGATTCTTCCACGGATAACACTAAGGGGAAAGACTCACAGAAGAAAGGGAAAAAGAAATAGGAAGTGGAGGCACGCTGTGGTTTATTTTTTTCTATTGCTAGGTAGGAACTAAGTTATATTTTGAAAGTTTATCTGTTTTACTTATTATATGAGATCCTGTGTGATAATTTCATGAAAGTATTCCAATGACAAAACTCGAGGTTCAGTATTGAAACTAGTTTGGCTATTGCCCTGTGGTCCATTGACAAAATAATATTTATTTTTTTTGTGTTCTGTCCTGTTTGCTGGTTCATTATTTTTCTACTTGTTTGTTTGATTGAACTAAATCACAACTATTATAAGTGCAAAAACTACTAGAACAATTATGCATAGAAATTATTCCTTGTAACTTCAAATTGGTATTTACACGTCCAAATTTGAAAAATGTCAAAGTCCGACTATAATTTTTTTTCTCTTGTAGAATCTGCTGTTCTAACAGCTGAGGCATTGAGCATTCATCTTATACCCATCATTACTCACGATCTTATCAAATTTGTCCAGAGTCATTATTTATCTTTAAAGTGAGATACTTATTTAATATTTGTAAAAAAATATCTATTATAAATTATAAAAATATTAAATATAATTAGATATATGTTTATAAAAGAATAATGAATATATTTTAGAATATTAAAAAATATTTGAAATATTATATAATTACAAACGGGTACAGTAATAATTAAATACGAGTTAAAATTTTATTAAGTATGTAAAAAATATGATTAATTATAGTCTATGTGATTTGTGAGCTTAATAGTACTCGATCTATTTCAAATCATATACCACTTTGAAATTGGGTGGGATCATCGGAAAACATCAAAATCAAATCGGAGGAGAGGAGAGAAGAGAAGAGAAGAATCCAGCCGAAACAATGAATCCAATGGGTGCAGCAGGGAGGAAGAGCATGTCGACGGTAGCCAAGGTCGTCGCTGAAATTGTCAGTGTCGGCAAAACCAAGCACCGAAAAGCTACTAGTGAGCTCGGCACCTACATGGGAATCCCTCATCACTCTCGTTCCGAAATCGCCTCCATCATTTCAAAGTTCATCAAACTCTACAGTTTCAGGGTTTCAACTCTACCCTCTTTTTCCCCTTGGTTTCTTCAATGCAGGCCAACTGTTTGATCAATGTTCTCACTCACAAAACATGCCATATACTTTACACATTACTTATTATTTTCATATAGTTTCAAACTAAGTTTGGAGTGATCCGTGAGTGACTAAAATGAGTTTACTCTTGTAATTAATTTGGTTTCATTTGACAATGGTATGTGGTGATGTGCAGAGTCCTGGTATTAAGAAAGACAAGCTTTGGGAGCAGAATCTGCAAACACTGTTGCGTGGCAGAAATAGCGTTGGTTTTCCCGAGATTGCTAAGGTTTTGTCTCCGGAATTCTGCCAGGGTGCGATTAATATCAAGGATACTAATATGGATTCTTCCACGGATAACACTAAGGGGAATAGCTCACAGAAGAAAGGGGAAAAGAAATAGGAAGTGGAGGCACGCTGTGGTTTTTTTTTTTCTATTGCTAGGTAGGAACTAAGTTATATTTTGAAAGTTTATCTGTTTTACTTATTATATGAGATCCTGTGTGATAATTTCATGAAAGTATTCCAATGACAAAACTCGAGGTTCAGTATTGAAACTAGTTTGGCTATTGCCCTGTGGTCTATTGACAAAATAATATTTATTTATTTTGTGTTCTGTCCTGTTTGCTGGTTCATTATTTTTCTACTTGTTTGTTTGATTGAACTAAATCACAACTATTATAAGTGCAAAAACTACTAGAACAATTATGCATAGAAATTATTCCTTGTAACTTCAAATTGGTATTTACACGTCCAAATTTGAAAAATGTCAAAGTCCGACTATAGTTTTTTTTCTCTTCTAGAATCTGCTGTTCTAACAGCTGAGGCATTGAGCATTCATCTTATACCCATCATTACTCACTATCTTATCAAATCTGTCCAGAGTCATTATTTATCTTTAAAGTGAGATACTTATTTAATATTTGTAAAAAAATATCTATTATAAATTATAAAAATATTAAATATAATTAGATATATGTTTATAAAAGAATAATGAATATATTTTAGAATATTAAAAAATATTTGAAATATTATATAATTACAAACGGGTACAGTAATAATTAAATACGAGTTAAAATTTTATTAAGTATGTAAAAAATATGATTAATTATAGTCTATGTGATTTGTGAGCTTAATAGTACTCGATCTATTTCAAATTATATACCACTTTGAAATTGGGTGGGATCATCGGAAAACATCAAAATCAAATCGGAGGAGAGGAGAGAAGAGAAGAGAAGAATCCAGCCGAAACAATGAATCCAATGGGTGCAGCAGGGAGGAGGAGCATGTCGACGGTATCCAAGGTCGTCGCTGAAATTGTCGGTGTCGGCAAAACCAAGCACCGAAAAGCTACTAGTGAGCTCTGCACCTTCATGGGAATCCCTCATCACTCTCGTTCCGAAATCGCCTCCATCATTTCAAAGTTCATCAAACTCTACAGTTTCAGGGTTTCAACTCTACCCTCTTTTTTCCCTTGGTTTCTTCAATGCAGGCCAACTGTTTGATCAATGTTCTCACTCACAAAACATGCCATATACTTTACGCATTACTTATTATTTTCATATAGTTTCAAACTAAGTTTGGAGTGATCCGTGAGTGACTAAAATGAGTTTACTCTTGTAATTAATTTGCACTTATTTGACAATGGTATGTGGTGCTGTGCAGAGTCCTGGTATTAAGAAAGACAAGCTTTGGGAGCAGAATTTGCAAACACTGTTGCGTGGCAGAAATAGCGTTGGTTTTCCCGAGATTGCTAAGATTTTGTCCGGAATTCAGCCAGGGTGCGATTAATATCAAGGATACTAATATGGATTCTTCCACGGATAACACTAAGGGGAAAGGCTCACAGAAGAAAGGGAAAAAGAAATAGGAAGTGGAGGCACGCTGTGGTTTTTTTTCCTTTCTATTGCTAGGTAGGAACTAAGTTATATTTTGAAAGTTTCTCTGTTTTACTTATTATATGAGATCCTGTGTGATAATTTCATGAAAGTATTCCAATGACAAAACTCGAGGTTCAGTATTGAAACTAGTTTGACTATTGCCCTGTGGTCCATTGACAAAATAATATTTTTTTTTTATGTTCTGTCCTGTTTGCTGGTTCATTATTTTTCTACTTGTTTGTTTGATTGAACTAAATCACAACTATTATAAGTGCAAAAACTACTAGAACAATTATGCATAAAAATTATTCCTTGTAACTTCAAATTGGTATTTACACGTCCAAATTTGAAAAATGTCAAAGTCCGACTATAGTTTTTTTTCTCTTCTAGAATCTGCTGTTCTAACAGCTGAGGCATTGAGCATTCATCTTATACCCATCATTACTCACTATCTTATCAAATCTGTCCAGAGTCATTATTTATCTTTAAAGTGAGATACTTATTTAATATTTGTACAAAAATATCTATTATAAATTATAAAAATATTAAATATAATTAGATATATGTTTATAAAAGAATAATGAATATATTTTAGAATATTAAAAAATATTTGAAATATTATATAATTACAAACGGGTACAGTAATAATTAAATACGAGTTAAAATTTTATTAAGTATGTAAAAAATATGATTAATTATAGTCTATGTGATTTGTGAGCTTAATAGTACTCGATCTATTTCAAATCATATACCACTTTGAAATTGGGTGGGCTCATCGGAAAACATCAAAATCAAATCGGAGGAGAGGAGAGAAGAGAAGAGAAGAATCCAGCCGAAACAATGAATCCAATGGGTGCAGCAGGGAGGAGGAGCATGTCGACGGTATCCAAGGCCGTCGCTGAAATTGTCGGTGTCGGCAAAACCAAGCACCGAAAAGCTACTAGTGAGCTCTGCACCTTCATGGGAATCCCTCATCACTCTCGTTCCGAAATCGCCTCCATCATTTCAAAGCTCATCAAACTCTACAGTTTCAGGGTTTCAACTCTACTGTAATACCCCAAATTTTGCCCCAAGATTAGTCGTTTCATCTTGCATCCCATTTCATTTTGCATTGCGTTTAAGCTAACCACTAACAGGTTGTGCAGTTGGTTGATTGTTGCATGAAAACATCATGTGGCGCGCTCTTTTAGTTTACAGGGTTTCTAGTGCCACTTTATTTTGAATGAATAAAATAGCACAATTGGCAAGAGACCCTGTGTAAGGAGTCTCAAGTGTGAGAGGTTGAATCCCACCTTTTTCACTTTTTGTTTTGTTTCTTTTATTTTTATTCTAACTTTTCTATTTTCATAAAAAAAAAATAACAAAAATATTTTTTTTATTATTTAATTATTATTTTCGTATTTTATTTAAATTATTTTTTAAATTTTTTGGAAGAACCCTAAAAGGTTTGAATTCATCATCGGCCAAGCGCTACCGGCGAGCAAAAAGTCCCAACGACGTAGGCTCAGTTCGTTCAACATCATCGTCGTTACCGTAAGCTTTCTCTTTCCTTTGATTTACGGTATTTTATGATTTTTGTGTGTTGTTTTGTTCATTGATTGTAGATTAATGGGAAGAATAAATAGAAGAAGGAACCATTGACATGCAAGGATTGAAGGAGAGGAAAAGCTTCGATAGCCATCCATGGAGAAAACGGCATAAGCCTTTTTATTTACGTTTCATTTTTTATTTATTTTATTATTCAATTGTTTATTTTTTTCATTTATATTAACTATGTAGTTTGTAATTAATAATGCAATTAAGTTTAGGTAAGCTATTTCAACAAAAAAACATAACGTAATTAGATTTTTAAAAATTAAGATCTTTCTCTAAAAAGTTTTTTCAAAAATTAAACCATTTTTTATTTAAAAACATATTTCTAAATAAAACAGTTTTTCTTAATTAAAATTTTTTTTCAATTAAAACCATTTTTCATTAAGTTAACACAAAAATTAAAAAATGACCTTTCTTTCACTAAAACAAAAATTAAAACCTTTTTCGTTGAATTTAAATCAAAATTTTCACTAAAATTTAAAACATTTTTTTAATTAAAATTTAAAACATTTATTTTCGATAAAATTAAAATATTTTTTTTCAAGATATTTTTTCATTAAAATTAAAACCAGTTTCTTTATTAAAATTTTTAGTAAATAATTATAATAGTTTCTCCATTTAAGCATGAAATTAATTCTCCTCTCCTCTTCTCAAAAAAAACACAAAAAGAAATAAGTTTTGATTTAGCCGTTTCATGTTTGTCTAACACTCCTTAATTTGTTTGTTTCTACTCGTTATTATTTCATTTGTTCGTTTTTGTTCCATGGATGTAATTTACGCGAGGCCATGGTCGCGGTTATTTTATTTTTCATTTTTTGGGAATTTGTAATTTACGCGAGTGATCGTCGCGATGCTTTTTTACCGCTTTCTTTATTTTTCCGCACTTTAATTCTGCCGAATAGTAATTTGTCGTATTTTGCATGTTTTTACCGTTAGAATTCCTCCGAAGGAATTAGGTCTAGCCGTTTGACCGCCGAGTCAATAGTCTTAACCCTTTGGACCATTTCAAACCCTGTTTAGCCTACGTGTTCCACCGTGGACGAAAATGCCCTTTACCCTAGCATTAGGTCAAAGAGTCGCCGTACTCTGTTTAGGGTTTCCCGCCGTGGAATCCCTAATTTCAACCCTAAATTTTCAATTAACAAATTCAACATAGAAATAGGAGTTTCAAAGACTCCACGTAAGCGTGTCCTTAAGATACGTTTATTCCCCATTGAAACCTTGACCATAGTCAAGACGTTTCCAACCTCCCTTTCGAGGGGAACTACGATTACTCTGATTCCATTCCCTATCCAGGATACGTAGGCACAAGATGCGATGTCTTGCCGAGTAAACTTAGGACTAACCCTTAGGTCTTTTAGGTCACTCTATCCCTTAGCTCAATATATACATCAAACAAATAATAAAATAAAAAAGCATACAATAAACAAAAGGTTCCTGTAGAGTACTACAGAAGTTTAGGGTGCTAGTACCTTCCCTAAGCTTAACCAACCCCTTACCTAGGTCTCTCCCCGCATTGTGTTTATGATGCAAAAATAGGTTTTCCCTCTTTTGACCTTTTCCTTCGGATAAATCAAAGAGCGGTTGTGAATCAAAAATTGTGATTCAAATTAATTAATAATTTGATATCCTATTTCCACCGCAACAGAAAATGGCGACTTCACTGGGGACCGCCATAACTTTTAAGGGTCATCCCTATTTTGTTTATTGTATGATATTTTTCATTATTTATTCTCTTGTATATATTATTATTGTGCCTTGCTTGGGGGGTACCCTGTTATTATGAGATAAGTCCTAACCCGGACTTGAGTGACCTTATTATAGGAAGGTGAGATATTCGACGAGGCTTGCCGGGAGTGAGTCCCGACCAAGTTGACTCGAGAATCACCGCTCAGTTGAGACCCTTTCGAAAATGGTTCAGTTGATCGAG